TTTTCATCTTCCCTAAACCTCACTGCCTCAATTTACCTACTTTAGATATTTTCCTTTATGAACTTATTATTACTAAAACCATAAAACTCTGCCAACATCATTATTCCTAGCAGTATTGGAAGCTAGTGACCTAACCCTCTTTATTGCACTATACTTTTAGATAGAAAATAACATGCATTTCCAGATGAACAAGTAAGTCTGCTGTGTTGGAGTCTGCATTATTAAGCTATTTTAAAATTAATTTATTGGGATATTTTAGATATACACAGCGATGACATTCATTGTCAGGAATTTGTGCCTGTTCATGATACATCTTGATTCTTCTTTTCTCCCATTCCCCTTCATTCCCTTAAATCGCTTTCCCCTCCTTATTTAAAAAGCTTTGTTCCCCATTTTTTTCTTTCTGTTCTTTTTTCTTTTCCCTCCCTCCCTTTCCTTATCTCCCCTCCCTTCTTCCCCTTCACACTGGAACATTTTCTTCCTATTTTCCAATATCTATGATACATTTTGGTCCTTATTTACCCTTTTGGCTTCTCACACCAGAGAACCAATGTGATATTTAAATGTGTGTCAGATTTATTTCATGTAAGAGTATGGTCTCAAGGTGCATCCTATCTTTGAACTTCCACAACCTAGAGTATTCTCATTTTCCTCTTACCTTTCTTTTTACTGCTTCAGTATTTGCGCAATACCTAGCTTCTACTTCTCCTTGAACTTGGTCTTTCTCAGTCTTTCCTTTAGGTACTCTCCTCACTCTACAAACTCTCCCTGGATATGACATCCCTTCCCCATGGTCCTATTGGTATAATAATAATGATGATTCTCAAGTTTATAGTTGGGAGCAGGGTACACAGAGGAAAGCCTGGGTCAAGGAACTGAATCAAAATATTTAGAAAAAAGTTTCCATATTTCATATCCCTTGACCCCAATTTGCCATTCTGCAGCCTCTACACTGTTGAAAATAATTTATTCAAAAGTATGTATTGGGTTAGTAGTAAGTTCCAGTAATGTTCTAGATCTTATGAATAGATTATTGACTAGCAAAGTCCTGTTCTCTGGGAATACCAGTATAATAAGGAAAGGTAATACAATTACCAAATATATAGCAGGTGTCAAGTATTATGAAGAACAATGATAAAGTGTTATAAATGGAATGGTGGCTAGCATGGGAGTTATTTTATACAGAGGGAATAAGCACAAACCTGAATGAAGTAAGAGAGTCATACCATCACAGGGGAGAAAAGCTTTCTCACAGGTAAGATGAGAATTACTGCCAAATTGAGCAAATTTTATGGGCAAGAGAATTTTATATTCTTCCTCAGTAATATTTCAGTTAAAAAGAATTTAAGAACCACTGTTGAATCTCAAATCTTTCTCTCTTACCCCATCTTCCTTGTGAATTCTAGACCAATATATCCAACCGCCACCGAGATAGCTCAAAGATACCTCACAAACGCTTGAAACTCATTGTTGAAAACAAGGCTCTACTTCTCCCCTTTCTTCTGTCCTCTCCTACTTTAAAGATCTACCGGCTGCCTAAGACAAAGACCTGGTAGTCATTCTTGACTTCTTCTTTAATATCTCTACATCCAGTCAAACCCAACATCACCTAATCTTCATTATTTCCATCCTACCTCAAGCCATCACTGCATGCACTGGATTACTGAAAATTCAAACTAGGTGTTCTCCTTTCATATTGTCACTCCCTCCACAATAACTTGCCCATAGTTAATAATTTTTCTGATATAAAAATTCATGTCCACTGATCTACTTTATTGTCACCTATTCCCATAAATGAAGTATAAATTTTTATAAACCATTTAACATATTTTTAAAGAATATTGTTAATCTGACTCCTGTCTTCCGTTTTCTCTACTGCCATTGGACTCCCAACTATCCTTCAGGCCCCTAAATAATCTATCTCACCTAAGAGCCTTGATACCATCTTTCCCTGTGCTTCTCAGCCTCCTGGGCTATAACAGGATATAACAACCTCTAGCTCTCCAAATCTCAGAATAACCAACCACCACAGCAGACACATCCTTTTGGGTTCAATGGCACTGTTGCATGCTCTAACATCTAAGGTTTTCTTCAGTTGTGTGTATCACTCAAGGGGACTATGTGCTCTATGAGATCTCATACCAGGAAGGAAACTGGACCTGGTATACATTAACTGTTAATAGATCTTTAACAATATTTTACTGACTAAATGAACAAAATTCCTCAGGTATCTGGGAATCAACACATTTATGTAATAAAACTATTGTATGCAAGTTCACCTATACCATAGGGGTCCCTGAAGAGGCCATAGGACTTTACTATTAGTTTTGCTGTGTTGGTGTTTGTTTTCATGTGACATGATGAAAAACAATTAATACTTTATCAAATTTTCAAAGGAAGTTTCAAACTATTAAAGATTATTGAACTGTGTTCAGGATATTGCTATAGTAACCTTAAAACAAATGTTCAAAGATTGTTCTATTTTTATTAATTTAGCAAATACTACTCAAAACCAATTTCAAATATTTTTTCTTTCTGAAATTCTCAACCATTCAAATGTCCTGGAATTACAGTTACATCTGAACAAAAGCCACTGAATATATCATTTGTAGGCCAAAGTTTTTTAATTTGTTTTATAAATATTTAAGAGTTAATACTGAAACTAAATAAAATCTTAAAGATTTACATTGAAGAGATTACTTCTACATTTTCAGAATTTTTCTTAGGATCATCATTACTTACACCAAAACATGCTAACAAAGAGCATACATGTTTAAAGGAAAAGGACACTATCGATGGTGTAAATTATGCTGACAGCTATATATAGCAATCTTCCTGTAAGATAACTCAATACCAAGACTGAGAGAATTGCACATGAAATAGTGAAAACTGCACACGCCCTTGAGCAATTATCAAGTGATATTCTAGCAGACATTGTCCACAGCAAAAACGCTAAAGTGGCAGCCCAGCAATGCAACTTTAGAAGTTTCCCAGCTAAGGGGTGCCAGAGTGCTGACAATTATCCAGTGATATGCTGTGCAGCTTCTAGAACAGAAAGTTTATAAAAATCCCCCCAACAGCAATGCTTCGTGTAAGCACAGTCCTAGAAACACAGTCTATGGCATTGCAGGTCCATCCTACTAGCATTTTGACATCAGGCAAAAAAACATTAACTGCATCAACAAAGCAGCCACCAACACAAAAAGCATCAAGCCAATCATGAAATTTTTAAAATTCAGCAATCATACCATTTTATAACCAATACAAATCAACAGTTTGGTTGATACTGGCTCTGATCTTCCAAAGGTACTTCCTACCCCTTTCATTTCAAATTGTATCTTCTCTTAGGGAGTCAAGGTTTTCCTTAGCAGTCTCTCCTCTTCAACTTCATCTCAGCCCTATTCTTGTTCTCCCAGTTTTCAAGGCCCATTTTTGTCCCAGAAGTTAGGAATGCCTACAGCTCTCTCTGTTAACAGAATATGCTGTAATTAAATTACACAGCATACATCAAAGATGTAGGCTGAATCTTAAGGAAATATAGGGCTATCGAAAGATTATAAGATGGAATAAGGCAATCAGTGTGAAAATTTTAAATATAGCAGAAGATTCGATGGAAATAGGCTCACGGGAAAACAGATAAATTAAGAGACTCTTGCACGTGGCCAGGTGAGGGTAGAGGAATGGAAGCTCTGGTAAGAAGAATAGAAAGAGAGAGTGAAAGAAATGTTGTAACCAATTGGTTATGGCAATAAACAAGTCCAAGGAATTGAAGAGAATTCTAGGTTTACGGCTTGGAAAATGTTAGTAGCACACATCAATACAGCTAGTACAGGAAAGAGAGTCCTTTAGGAGAACAAAATGAGTTCGTTTAAGGCCATGTGGAGTGTAATTTAGGTATAGATGTTTCAGGAAGGCAATTTAATACCCAGGTCTGGAGCTAAGGAGTTAGATCTGAAATATGGTTTTAGATTAGGTTGAGGAACATTCAGCCATGGCTCAAGTAATTCAAGTAAGGGATATGATATGTGGACTAGTATAGTCCTTAAATCTGACAGACAAGGGTTTGAATCCTAGCTGTCATTAATCAGCTGTTTAACTTTGAGTAAATGGTTTAACTTCACAGGACTTCAATTTCTTCGCCTATAAAATACATAGCAACAACCTCACAGAATTACTGATAGATTCAGTATACAGTGTTTACTTTCTGCCAGGGTTTTATATGCATGAGTATATTTAACTTCAGAACCACATATGTATATGCTACATATTAATGGAATGTGTACATATTCATATGTGCATAAATTTATAGCCAGTGACCAGAAGATGGATTTCTTCCATCCGTGCCACTGTGTTCTCAGACTAATGTATGCAGAGTGCCTACCTGTCAGTCCATTCTAGAAGGTCCCACCCACAAGAGCAAGGCATTAAAGTGGGTATTCCTGCTCTATTTGGCCCTTTTTGTAGTTGGTTGCCCAGCCTGTTGCCCTTAAGGTGAGGACATTTTGTGTTCTGTTTGCCAAGACCTGTTCAGTTAGGTTCTTCCACACTAGCCCAACCAACACAATTCTTCATGACTTATTTTGAAAGACAGGGTTGCTATTTATAAACATTGCCCAGGTAAATATGGGAAGTCATAGTTATTTTTAAATGAGACACATATGCTATGCAAGAATACCCAGCCGTATGAGAAGTGCAAAAAAATTGCTCTAAATAGAGAATAAATAGCAAAGAAGAAACAATTTTAGTAGCAAGGAATGTTTGTACGGTTTAAGAGCAAGTGGTAAGGGCAAGACAGTTCTTTTGTTCAGGCCACCCAACTTGGCACAACCTGAACATATCTTCAGAGCAGATTATTGATAACATGTTCTTAACAAAGAATGCAGATGGGACTTTACTTAGAAAACTTAAGGGCTTATTGATCAGAAACTATTCAAAAGTTCACATAATTAAATTTACATATTAAATTTAAAACACATTATGATATCTAATGTGTGTCTTACCTTGGCCGTTATTCTTTGAAGTCTCTTGCGTTCAAGCCACCCTCTGACACGTGCTTGCATGATAGTAATCAGCCTAACTACTTTTTTGGTAATTATAAATCTGTTTCTTTCTTGGAACACTTGGAAGATTTCTATGTGTGGTCCAATTCTTTTAACTTTACTGCCCAATTTATCGCCATTAGTTAGACTATCTTTTCTCCTAAAATAAAATATAAAAACTTCTTAGAAGTAACAAGAAAAATAAACAGTTCTACAGTTTCAAATGCTTTCAATAATAACAATATTGACATAAGAAATGTATTTTAATTTGTACATTGAATGCGATATATGATATTGCTTGAACATGTCAACCAGGTTCTCAAAGACTAACTAATCTAGAATCAAAATACTTTCGTGCATAAATTTAACTTTCTGAGGAAAGGAAATTGAAAAGAAAGTGAATTTGTCCAAGTTTATTCACAACTATTCAAACGAGAATATTTTCATATTTCAGGGTAGATTAGTTCAGATAATTTTCCTATCTCTGAAGCTATTTTAAAGCCTACTTTAAAATTATTAAATTATGATCCAAATCCTCGCAGTCAAGAAAAAGTGCAGTATTGTCATTGGAGTCATGGGCTGCAGGGTCAGCAGCAGTGAAGGATCACACTGGGAAGCCAGAATCAGCTCTGCGAGACTGACAGAGATAGACTTGGTCATGACAATAGACGTGTGAGCAACTGCAGACACCGCCAGACACACAGTAACAGTAAACTTGGTGACTTTGTGTCTACTTCTTCTCGGTGTATATCTGATTTAGTTTTTTAAAAGGTAGCCAGTTTTTTCAAAGTCTTTTTACAGTCCAAAGTCTAGTTACCTTCTAATTTGTAGCATATACAAATGCTTTTGTTTCTATCTGCCCCAGACAGAGCTGGAATCCGACTGATGTTCATCCACAAGAGGTAGGTGTTATTTGCAAAGTGCACTGCATATAGGTCTCTGAATTTTAGATCAATTTTCTTCATTCTCAGAGTAAACCTCTAGTTCACAAAGATCATTCCCCCCACCCCAGGACTATCAGTTTAACCATCTTTTGGCTCTAAACTCAAAATACTTACACATCCCTTTGTTTTAAACATGGACCAGATTAAAATATTCTTAGTCATCTAGAGCTTATCTTGTATATGGCATAACATTCACCCAACATATGTTAGTTATCAATAAAAGAACTAGAAGCAACCAAAGACATCAAGCCGCTGATGTCCTCTGGAGCAGTGAGTCCCACAGACTCAGCCCATCTTGTTGCAGATCAGCCAGGAATATAAGTCCCCTCCCCACTTCCCCTTTCCCACAAGAGTTTCCTTCCATTCCGGGAGCTGGCCCCAGGTCACTGGCTCCAGAAGGTATTTGGATGAGGGATTTCTCACAGGCACACGAGTCCATGGGGTGCCCAAATAAAGTCTGTGTTGTATGCTATTGGCTACTTCACAGTCATCTTTTTTTCCTTGATAAATCCAAGATCCTTGAAGGAGAGAGGCCAGTCTCGATAACCCTTTCAAGAGATGCCCCTCATGACCTAACTTTCAAGTGGTTCCAGCCATTGAGTCTCACCTCTTAAATGTTTTAACATTTTCCAATAGTGCCACAGGCTGTGATTCCAGTCTGGGGGACATTTAAGACCCAAGTCATAATGCCCACCCCATGAATCTGGGTTGGTCTTATGAATTACCTTCCCAATAGAATTCAACCAAAATGATAATGTCAGTTCTAAACATATGCCACACAGTTCCCTTCTCTCAGAAATTTAAATCTGAGTGAGAAATAAAAACAGCTTTTAGAGAAAAATAAGTAACAGGAAGAAAGGACAAGTTATACCCCCTCAAGTGAGTCAAGATGATACCAGCTGAGTTGGACCAGACCCTATTAGTTCATGAACAGGGATGAATAGGGTTTTAGGGTAGTGTTGTTGTTGTTGGGTTTTTTAGCATGGGCTACAAAATTCAGGACCTTGCACTTGCAGGCAGGTGTGGTGCCACTGGGCTAAATTCACAGCCCTTAAATAGGGTTTTCTTAAGTAACTGAGCTTTGTGACATTATTGTGTCAACAGATAACTAATATGCATACTTATATGTTCACCAAAGACAAATACAATGGCTGTCAAATTGAATTTTTTAAAGATTTTTATTTCAGAAGCAAATTATCTCTGCCTAGTAGTAGTACTCATGCTGAACACTTAATGGCCCTAGAAGTTTGAAACCTTGAGTTTTGTCAGCGTTCTTAGAGACAGTAATATTCTTATTTCAAGGTAACCAATGAACAAATTCTTGTGGACTGAGTATTTATATCCTCAAACAAGGACCGCATTCCTCTGCCTTCTGACACTGTTGGTTATGCAGCAAGCTCACAACAAAAGCACGCTCTGCTGATGCATACTGTGCTGTATGCATAACGGGCATCATAACACCAACAGGTGGCTGCTGCTTTCCCTCATCCCCGCCCAAAGATCCTACTGTTTGTTACATGTCATCAATTTTATTTTCTGAAAGAAACATCAAAAGAACAATTGCTATATAAAGAATGCATCATTTTGCTAAGAATGTATTGTAGGAAGAAAAGATGTATGGCTTTTCAGCGCAAACTGATATCACAACTATGAGCCTGCCAGATGAGGCAAAAGGACTGGTGCAGGCTTTCAGGACTCTTATATCCAGAAGCTATAATTGCATATGGTAGTCTACGTAATCCAAAGCCAGGAGAGTAAAAATATCTCATATTGAATAAACTGTTTGAATTGTTTTTCATATTTATTATCTAAGAAAAGTGACAAACTTCCATTATTTGAATCTGTTTATGAATTTCAATTTATTTGCTTTTACTTCTGCAAGCTAAAATAATGTAAAAATGATATAATTTTTAAATTATATAAAAATGGTTGCACTTTATTACTCAAGGAAAAAAATTAAACTTTTCATACAGATTATAAAGTAAGAAATTATCAGAAATGTCAGTAGATATGAGGAATATGTATTTATTTTGTCCATAAAACGTTGAATATAGAACGCTTTTACTGAGTCCATTATATCTGTTTACTTACAATGTTTTAATAAAAATCAATACTTTTTTCTACCATGGTGTAACTGAAAAATCTATTTCTATCCATTTTCCAAATGGTTGACACACACATCACTGAATGAGGTATGATAGCTCTATTAGGCCATATGGATTCACTTATGACATTAAAATGATGCCCACTAAGTTCATCCAGAAAACCAGCATACGTCGCTGGCAGCACACCTTGTAGAATGTTTACTTCCTGGAATGAAGGAATACTGTACAGATACAAATTCTCTATCATCAATGGGATCAATATTGTGACAGATATATGTTAATAAAAAATAAAGTTTGAAAAAGAAAGATTAAGGGACACTTTTACCGCTATATACAATGAAGGCACAACTAGGAAGAGACAATTTAGATGATTCCTAATTCTAAACCTCAATAGAAGAACTGATGCAGGCCATAAAAATCTCTGCTGCGTAAAGTCATTTTAAAAGAATTTAACACAGGGCCTGGGATTTAGCTCAGTGGTTCCACCGCCTGCTTTGCAAATGCAAGGACCTGAGTTCTATCCCTGGTACAAAAAAAAAAAAAGAATTTAACACTAACAGATGGGTCACTTCACCTGGACAGCCAACACTGCTGCCTTCGTATCATGTGATGCTAGTTTTGATGATGATACAGTATAATGTCTAGGTTTTTAATCCATACTTTATTCCACATCTTCATAAGACTAGTCTAATAAAAAATTAAAAGTGGAGGAATGAACATATGTGGTAAAAACGATGTCATATGATTATGCCTTGATCACAATGAAGAACTCAGAAAACAAACTGAAAACTTATCATCCTTTATCATGAGTAAGTACACACTTCATACCTCACAGTCAGTGGGAAGGGTACCCGGTACCTTGTGGTAAACGAACACAGGTAATTCTGTCTTGCACTAGTCTCCAAAATAATTGGATCTTAAGCCCCTTATTACTGAACACATGACAGAATAATGATTTTTAATCTCATGATACTTATTTATTGGATAAAGGTACAAACTTTAGTAAGTCATTTAGTTCTTGTCTACCTAAGACAACCCAAGAGTCAAATGTGGACAAACAAAACAGACTAGCTCCTTTAATATAATCTCAGATTTATAGTCATTTCCTGAATAAAAAACATCTATTGCATCTGAAATGAACAGACATTTCTCAGACAAAGAAGTAAAAGCAGCAAGTAAATATATGAAAAAATATTCCACATCACTGGTCATTTGAGAGATGCAGATGAAAACAACACTGAGATTCCACCTCACCCCAAAAAGAATGGCTGCTATCAAGAAATCAATCATGGGCCAGGGATTTAGCTCAGCGGTTTGGTGGCCTGCCTTGCAAGCACAAGGACCTAAGTTCAATCCCCGGTACCAAAAAAAAAAAAAAAGAAAGAAAGAAATCAATCAATCAATAACAAATGTTGGCGGGGTTGTGGGGAGAAAGGAATCCTTCTCCACTGTTGGTGGGAGTGCAGACTGGTGCAATCACTACGGAAATCAATATGGAGACACCTCAAAGAGCTGGGACTAGAGGTTCCATTTGACCCAGCCATCTCTCTGCTGGGTATCTTTCCAAAAGAATCATAACACAGTGATATATGTGCACCTATTTATAGCAACACAGTTTGTAATAGCTAAAACTTGGAAACAGCCCATTTGCCCATCAGTTGGAGACTGGATAAAGAAGATGTGGTTTTTCTATAAAATGTAATACTACTCAGCCATAAAGAATGAGAAGTTAGATTCATTCATAGGAAAATGGATACATATTGAGGATATACTCCTAAGTGAAATAAATAAGCCACATGTGTAAATGCCAAATAGTTTCTCTGGTGTGAAAAACTATAATAGTACATAAGATCGTAATGAGATAACTGACCATGTGACATAGGAAAAAAAAGGGCAAAAGGTGTAAGGAAAGTGGGAAGGGTAGGGCAAAGGCAATAAGGAAAAAAAATGTGAGAAAATGAAAAGATAGAAATAAAGTGTTTGTAAATGGGGGGGCGGTGAAGGGAGGGCAGGGACAAGGGAAAAAAAAAATGAGAACCAAGACCTGTCATGTAAAGGTACAAGATCCCAATAATGAATGTAAGTGTACTGTATACCTAAAATGTACCAAT